AGAAAGAGCGAATATTAAATTTTGTTGAAGTACCATAAGTATTTCTCTTGGTTATGTGAATTTTTCAGTTTCCTTGTGAAGTCTAATATCTTAGTAGATTATCTTTTTATAATAAACCAGAAACTCTCTTTCCACTTGTGGAATAAACCCCTATTATGAGACAACAGTGAATTTTGACAAAATGTCTTGAATTGGATTTGTTAATTGATAATAGTGATTACGAGCGAGAGTTTTGGAATAAGAACTGAATGTTAATCTCCGCCCTATAGAATGTTAATGCGCACGAGAACTACTAAACTATCTTTTCTTTGCAAGTGGCTCTGGACTATGCCCTTAGAATTTGAGCAATTTGGGATATGTTTCCTAGATAGACATCAATAAAAAGCACAACAGCCGTAATGATGAAACTGGCTATGGGACCTCGTCCAGTTGCTTTTCAAATCACATAAAGGCATTTTCAAGCCCAACGTAGTAGACATGTTCTTGACTCTGATTTAGGCTAGTTGACTTTACAGTGGACAGCAAAGAGATCACGTTGCTGTCATCCATAATTATATTATTGAAATTTCTCATTACTTATATAGATCTTAAACATGTGAGTTAAAGGTAATGGGCTCGTTAAACCCAAAATTAGTTCATAGGCATGGTCGAGCTATTCATTAATCGGGAGCCTGGCTGTTAATGAGAGTCTAGTTGAGGAAATATTTAATATCCCATTAGGGAAAGCTACTTTTCACTGCAGAGTGAATGCGTTTGCAGCCCCTCAGAGCTCTGGTGCTTTGCTCTCCTTTTCTATCGAGAGAGACAGACAGATGACAGAGAAAAAGGGAGAGAGACAGAAGACATGAAATGACTATTTGGAGAATCGTCTGGTGTCCCCTAGATCAGCAACTTTGCCATAATAATTTATAAATACTAAAAAAAAAATAATAATAATTTATAAATACTTTTACATTGGTTTTAAGGATTTGGTAAGTTTCGTTTTTCACGTAAGCAAACAGACAAATTGCCCCGTGGGCCCCAGTGGGCAGAATAAACTCCAGAGAGCAGATCCTGCCTGGAGGAAGTAAGGAAGATAGTGTCTCACGTTTTGAACTAGATGAGAGTGAGATGCTCTGCCTTTTGAGGCAGCGACCGCATATTTTTGGATGTGTGCACACTGGTTAGATTCCCCCAGGGATTAGAGGCCCCAGTGTTTCTCACGTGAGGCAGCACCGGGGTTTTGGGTGGGATGATTCTTCATTCAGCAACACTCAACTAAGCAGGTGCATCCTGCACACAGTGGGCACACAAGTCGTAAGGCATTTGCACCCATGGTAGTCCCTGGGCACTAAATGCTACTCTCATCTCCTAGTCATTGTGACAGGCCTAACCTCTCCTAGTATTTACAAACACCTGGAGTTTATAATCTTAATTATAAATGTCCAGACTAGACAAACTGTCAGGTTACGTACCACTCGGAGAGTCTAAGATGGTAGAGTTTGGGGTATTCTGTTCTAAACATTTCATATTTTCTGGGATAGGTAATTTAGGTCTAAGATGAAAAACCCTTCCCAACCACGGCTTGTAACCTTTCTATTTTCCTTAAATCTAAGTATACACCATAGGATCTCAAAATCAGTATTGTGTTTCCATAATAAACATACATGGAAGGAGAAGAAGATTGTCTTTTGGAAGAAACTGCTAAGATTGTGTAAAAGCATCTGTAGTGATGGCCATCAGCCAAGGACTCTATACCAGTTTTAATTTATTCAATATGAAAACAGCCTTATAAGTCATGTATTGTTATTATCCCCACCTTACAGATAGGGAGGCAGAGACACAAAAGGATGCCTTTGGCCAGGTAGAGTATTCACACATACCAACTCTAATATCATACTTTTCTTTGGTAAGAACTGTTAGAGAGAATTCTCTCCCCTAGTTAACTAACAATCTGGGATCTTGTATTCTTACAATAATAGAGAAGTATTTAAAATGCCTGAGTGATAGACTTGTGTTTATTATGCCTTATATTTATTTACTCCGATATTCATCAAATATTCCTCAGCCAATGCTTGGCCTTTGCATTATTCTGAATGGCTTTGTGAAGAGCAAAACGTGACCGTGCAAGGCTGGAGGCCTTGCTCAGAGTCCATTTCTGAGCAAACTGTTTGTATTTTGACTCTATATTTCAGTAGAAAGGGATGAGAGGGGTTCTTTCTTTCTTTGAACTTGACTAAGTAATTGAAAGGTTGCAAGCATAGACTCAGCTTTACAAGAGACAGAAAGAGCATCATCTCATCTTTACAGAAGGACAGCCTAAGAAAATGAGAAGTTTCTAATTTCTTAAACGTTTATACAGTAAGTGTAGAGATTTAGCAGGAAAATCCATCTAAAAGAGGTGAACTTTTAAGAATGGAAATGTTGGGTACATGATCCTAAGCAGATTCATTTAGGGTATGTATTTGCAAAATGTGTACAGAAAAAAATTGCAGTGAAACCATTTGGAAGGTGATCCTTTTATGTAATAAGAAGAAAAGGAAACAAAGGTGGAGAAAACAATTGTGAATGAAGGTCTGAGTCCCCTCCTCTGGCCTTCACACATAGTTTCTACTCTTCCCCAGCTGTCTGTCTGGTGAAGTGGCTCACCTTTCAGCTCCTCAAGGCCAGTTATATCTTAAATTGTTGAGTTGCATTAGCCACCTCAAATTCTCCTTTCCCCCCGTCAGCCATTTAAGATCAGATTCTCTATTTCTTGCAACACAACTCTAATTAACACAGAAGGTCAGACAACATTATTTTAACATGCAAACCAGTTTTCTATATACCATCCTTTCACATATGGAGCATAATGTTTGCCCAGGCTGAGTAGTTCTTCTTGCAAAAGGTTTCTTTATAGTTCCTATAAAAATGGGAACATCTTGAATGGTTGTTTTTCCTCTCTTCTCAGCCTGATGGCAAAATGAAATAGTTTGAGTTCTGTTACTAACAGAGTTACAGCAAAACCCTCTTTGTGATTGTGGCTTAGTGAAGCAAAACATCTCTCTTCATAGCACTGGAGAACATTAAAGTGGGAAGGAGCTTAGAAATCCTTTCATTAGTGCACATTTCTCATTTTACAGATGAGGAAACTGAGATTCAAATAAATTATATAAAAAGTTAGTAGAGACTGGTACCCGAAGTATGATTTTTTTTTGTCTTGCACTGTTCTCTTTCCACAAGTTCACAGTCTAGGGAGATGGGCAGACCTATAGGATGTTTATAATATGTGATAAAGAGGCTCAGGTGAGACCCCGGAGGACAGAAATACTGAATCCTACTAGAGATGAAGAGTGCAAAACCTTTCTGGAAAATTAAACTGAGTATTGAATAGTAATTGATTTCAACAGTAATTGATTAAACAATTTTTAAGTATCTACTGTGCTTAAATATTGGAAAGACAAAGATGCATGGCAAGGCATCCAATGCAGGATGTTTGGGGTGAGCAAGTGCATTTCAGGTCTACAGAAGGGCGCCCATTATGCGGGAATATGTGTGAGTGTGTGTCGTGGGGAAACCCATCAATGGACACGTGGCCATTTAGAGGGTTTTAGAGGATGTAGGAGAGGGAAAGTGTTTAGTAACTTCTCAGCTTTCGTTTTGGTTCATCAGAACATGTTTTTTTGTTCTTCATTTTAGAAAATTCAAGAGAAGAAGATAATTTTTAAGGAATGGTGGTTTGGCATGACGAGATAGATCATTTGCGTGTTCAAGATAAAGGATCGTTTTAACATTATACTTTGGAAAAGTCAAACATGAATGACAGCAGGTGCAGGAAAGGAGGGCGATTGTATTTGTATTTGCTTTTCAATACTGAGTTTGACTTTGTGGAATAACACATTCTTAGGCGGCTTTAGGTTGATATTTACTGGGAGATGTATTAGTCAACATGGGTGGCCATAACAGAATGTTGAAGTTCGGGTGGTGTAAAGTACTGGCATTTACTTTTCTCATAATTCTGGAGGCTGGTGTCCATGACAGTATGTCATCAGCTTGGTAGCTGTTGGTTTTTGACAGCTACTTTCTTGCTAAGTCTTCATGTGTTTTCTCTCTTTGTATGAGAGGCACAAGTGAGACCTCATGTGTTTTCTCTCTTTGTATGAGAGGCACAAGTGAGACCTCTGGTGTCTCTTCCTTTTAATATAAGGACATTAGACCTATCCGATTAAAGCATCCCACCTTCATGACTTCATTTAATTTTTGATACCTCCCTACTAACTTTATCTCCAAATGTAGATGCATTAGAGATGAAAGATTTAATATATAAATTTGGGAGAAGGGGCACAATTAATGTCCCCCACATTCATGTCTTTTTCCATGTTTTATAAAAGGCATGAACATAAAGCCAGGCACAGTGACTCACACCTGTAGTCCTTGCATTCGGGGAGGCTGAGATGGGTGGATCTCCTGAGCTCAGGAGTTGGAGACCAGCGTGAGCAAGAGCAAGACCCCATCTCTAAAAAAGAGCTGAGCACTGTGGTGGGTGCCTATAGTCCCAGCTACTTGGGAGGCTGAGGCCAAAGAATGACTTAAGCCTAAGAGTTTGAGGTTGCTGTGAGCTAGGATAACATGGCACTCTACCAAGGGCGACAAAGTGAGACTATGTCTCAAAAAAAAGCATGAACAAGTCCAGGTCTATAAGAGTTAGCTTTTGCATCAAGGTTTCTGTCTCGTGTCACAGGGTCTGTTTCATGTACCTAGGCTTGTAGGGATTTCTTGTAGTGATAGTATAACTTTGTGTCACTGTCTGAATGTTTGTGCCCTGCAACATTCATAGGTTGAAATTCATATACCCCAATGCAATGGTGTTAGAAAGGGAGACCTTTGTGCTCACTTCAACAGCACATACGCTAAACTAGAATGATACAGGGAAGAGCAGTGTGGCCCCTGCCCAAGGATGGCACACAAATTCATGAAGCATTCCATATTAAGAACAAAAAGGAAAGTGGGAGCTTTGGGAGATGATTAGGTCATAAGAGTAGGCCTTCATGAACAGGATTAGGATTATAAAAGAG